AATTTTTAAAGAACTTAAAAACTCAACACCAATAAAACAAACAATCCAATTAAAGAATGGACAAAAAACATGAATAGACACTTCTCCAAAGAGGACATGCAGATGGCCAATAGACATAGGAAAAAATGCTCAATGTCACTAATCATTAGAGAAATGCAAATTAAAATCACAATGACATATCACCTCAGGGCTGCCAAAATGGCTCTCATTAATAAATCAACAAACAGCAAGTGCCAGTGAAGATGTGGAGAAAGGGGAGTGTTTTTGCACCACTGGAAGGAGTGCGGATTGTTGCAGCACTGTGAAAAGCAGTATGGGGATACCTCAAAACATTAAAAATGGATCTGTTACAGGTGGGCACAGGTAACCAGGTTCTTGGTGATCATGGACAAAAATTTGAACCAAACACACAGAGTTTATAGCAGAAAGCAAGAAAAAGCAGATTTACTAAGCCACAGAGAACACGGGAGCAAGCCAACTCTGAGCAGAGCGGAGCAGAGAAGAGCAGAGCAGAGCCTAAGAGCAGCCGCCCTGACCTCAGGGGCTAGAGGGCTTTTATTCCTTAGGGTGGGTTTCCCACAATTTCCTTGATTGGCTACTGGGAAAGGGGTTCCACAATGCTAATTTATTATAATGCTATTATAATGAAGCAGGGGTCAGGTAGCATCTTCTGCACAGGTACATTCTTGGTTCACTAGGATTCAATGCTTTTCCAGATGCAGAAACAAACAGTCTTAGAGCAGGGTCTCCGCCCTTTATCCATGTTCTTTATCTTAGCCCTGGGGCACCTCTGGAGTTTCCTCCTTCCTGACTAATTCCTGCCTCAGATTTGCCTTTTGACCCAGTGGTCCCACTTCTGAGAATATATCTGAAAAAATCCACAACACCAGGTAGACTGTTTAATTTATTTGAGTTTGGAAATAGGGAATGGATAAAGACATCAGCTCTGCCTTTATGAGAAAGGCAAAGGATCAAAGAGAAATTTATCAAAACTCTTGCCCATTGATAAGTTATTTTCCATTAGGTTCCATTCCCAATGTACATGTATGTAAGTGTTTGTATTCATAGATACGTACATATGTATCCAACTAAAGTTAAATTTACACTATCACCATACTTGATCAAGACAAATAATTTTAAGCATGGAAAAAATATTACACTATTTTTTAAGATATTTAACAACAAGATGCAAACACTCAATACACAAATAAAATATTCATATTAAATTCCCATGATAATGTGTTAAGTTTTTGCTCATGTAGAGATTGCATACACACTGGTAATTTTATAGTTTATATTGGAAAAATATAATTGAGTATATCATACATTATTTATCAATAGGATATAACAGCTTTTCACTGGGTAAACTATTCCTGCCCTTCAAGACAATTAATGTTCTTGCCCCCACACATTTTGAAAGCCTAAAGTTAAAACACTCCTCTCAATTGACAAAAGCATAAGATATACTCATCAAGGAGAGCATCAGGTTTTATGGAGCTTAAGGGTTACAAATGTGGGATCTCTCTTTAAGGAAAAAAAGTAAATGACTAGTTTTCAAGTATATATTTATTTGCAATGAGAAAATAGGTCATAAAAATGATAAATTCTACAAAACTTACAAAGCAACACAAAATGAAAATAAATAATATTTTGGAAATTATCTATTCATACTGTTTATAATGTTACCACAAAGTCGTTTCTGGTTTCATGTATTTTCAATTTTGCTTATGTTTCATTATTTATATCATAAAAATTTTTCTTATAAGAGGGTCTCATGCTACACATTAATTCACTATGATGACTAAGTTACTACAATAAATGCTAGGAATATATATCTGGAAGTCATTCCTATTGTAGAGAGGGTGACAATAATTTAACTATTTGTGGAAATGACTGTGAGCCATATAAATATAACCAACTGTTCTCTATCTCCAAGTATTCTCTAATTTATTTTTCTACTATTTAGTTCCATAGAATGCCAAAGATCTTTTCAGTTCCCACTGATAAGAGAAAATTGTAATGGAGGAAAAACCTATAGAAAAAGATAATGCTTATAATCAATAGTGGTCAAAATATCTTATTTTGAAAACTTTATAACAACATAACCATATGAAAGCATTGTCAGGAAGGAGTCCATGCAGAGGGTTTTATTTTTTATAAGATTTATTTACTTACTTACTTATCTATTTATTATTTTTAGAGAGAGGGGAAGGGAGGGAAAGAGACTGAAACATTAACGTGTGGTTGCCTCTCATGAGCCCCCTACTGGTGAACTGGCCCACAACCCGGGCACGTGCCCTGACTGGGAATCAGACCTGCAACCCTCTGGTTGCAACCTTCTGCTCCTTAGTAAATCCACCTCATTTAAAAAGAACAGCATTTTCCCCCAAATAGGAGCAACTGCATATCTATATACCTATTATAAAACTGTATGTTGCTATTTTATTAAAAATTAATTGTAACTATGGGGGCTAAATTCTCATGACAACTAATATTTTAGTTACTTTTTTCTCTTTCTTTATAGTCTAATTCAAACTACCAGATACTATTCCAATCTTTAGTTACACTGTGTTAGTTCAGTTATGAGGTCATGTGATTGTTCAGCAAAACTACTGTTGTTTTAGATATCTTCACATTGTATTCTTAAAAATTTTATTTATAAACTTTGAATTGCAAAACACCATATTAATCTGTCTGCCTTCCTCCCATAAAATACTGATCTTCTTAGAAGAAACTTCCACCTGGACATATACAATGATTTTAATCTGTGCCTCCATTCATTTTCAAATTTACATTGATGAAAAAGCTTGAATTCGTTCTGTCATTGCTACATATTTTTGGTTTTGCTGTAAGTAAAATATTAATTACCAACAAAATATATTTATAATATTCACATCATATATAAGACTTAGAATATATAATATGTGTGTGTGTGTATATACACACACACACATATTATATATATATATATTCTTCAATCAAAGTTACAAATGTCTGTTTTCTGTCTTATTAATGTTATATTTTAAAATTTTAATAATTAAGGAAAAGGTTAATTAATTAATAGTCAAATAATCTATTATCACCCAATAGTTCCTAACAAGGGAATTTACAAAATGTGATATTGTTCAGCATTGTTTTTCTTTGATTTAAAATAAAGCCACAATATAAAAATGAATATTGAATATGGTATAGAATATATTATGTTTTCAAACATGCAGCTCTAGTAAAACATCTGCTCATAATGCTGTTTCTTTCTGTGCAAAAATAAATTGAAACAACTAATCATGTAAAAAATACCACAACTTTGAGGGGTAGACTAGCCCATTTTTTTTTCTTCTGCATATCAGGGAAAAGATTGGAATTCTTTTACATATTTCACAGGGTTCTGAGTTGCAAACATTTGCACTTCAGCAAATGCCACATTTAAAAATTTAGACTGGCAAAAAGAAACACTTATCCTATCAACACCTTGTTATATGTGTGAAAGACAATTAATTTAATCTACAGTGTGCTTCCTTATTGTACTTTGGAATTCTATGGATTAATCAACATTAAAAAGCTATACTCTGCATCACTGATGGTTTCTGTGTAACTGCTAAAGAACTTTTGTCATGAAGGAATAAGCGTCAAGTTTTTGGCATATTTACAATTTTAAATTGAGCATTTTAACTCATGTTTAAACTGGTAATTTGACTTATAAAAATATTTAAAGAAATGTACAATAGCGATAAATGTACTTGTAGGGCATAAGCTACAGGAAATACATCACAATTGCCTGGCAATGAGAAAAATACGATACAAGAATTAATTTTTGAGATCAAAGTACAGTAAATGTCAAGATTTAAGTACAGCTATACAAGTCACCTAAAATAAACAGAATAGTTTCACCAATGCCCTCTGCTTAACTCAGCACAGAAATTCCGTGTATGTTAATTATCAATTATGTACATATTGGTATACATTTTTAAAAACTATGTAAACTGAGACAGTTATTGTTTGGCCTTAGAAATCAGAAAAAAAATCAGACACCAGGCCACTGGTCCTCATGTGACAAATGAGCATGCCAATCCAGTGCAGTACAGGAAGAAAATATTAGAAGCATTGCTAATAGGTATTTAATATTGTATCATTTCAATCTGTGTGTTGGAAGACGTGTATGTTCAGTAATATTTAAAATATATCAGTATAGTATTACATAAATTAATGTATAAATATTGGGGTAAAGACTAAAATGATTCTTAGTAGCAGAGTATAAAATAAAAATGTTTAGGTATCATTATTCCCAAGCTAATTCTGTCCAGAGTTTTAAGGAGCTTTGGTCAGTGAAATATGAGTGGTGGGATCCTACAAGCAATGCCATTTCTGTTATGAAATAAGTTATCTTAATCTGCTGTTACGCTAGTTCAAACCATAGCTATGGTTCTCTCTATAAAATTCCAGGTGGATGTTCTGGCTTTATTAATCTATTATATGGCTTTGGTAAATATGTATCAACCCAAGGGAAAAAAAAGTAACACAGTGACTCGGTGGTTTGACAATATTTTTTGTCAGAAAAACATCAAAGGGATGATTTTATATGTTGTTAAATTCTCCAAATCAATGAGTGCTACATGCCAACTTGAGAAAAATAGCCTGCCCATCTTGTCCCTGGAAGTTTTCACTTTAAAAAAACATGTAAATATGATAAATGATATCAAAGATTAATATGCTAATGTCTTCTAATAGATAATGCCTCCTTGTACCCATGTCCTGTTCAGTCTCCTTTCACAATGACACTTGGCCTTGATATTTCCTTTGACCAATGAAATATTAGCAAATATAATATAAACTTAAGCTTAAACCATACTTATACATTGCAACTGTTTCTCTTATGCTTCTGGCTTCTTCCACCGACACCTGAGAAATCTGTGCTACCCTGCTTGACTTCATGATGACCAATTTGACAGCTAGAACCAAATCAGACATGTGAGTGAGGTCATATTAAGCCACTCATCCCCCTAATACTCTGGTTTCTCTTCAGATCATATAAATCTTTTGCCTTTTACTAAAGATTTCCATGCAGGGGAACAATTCTGTGTGTTTACTTAATTTTTTGAGGCCCTGCTTTGGCAAGGCTGATATCATTGGTATAAAAAAAGACATTTGAAAAAAAAATGTCACTCATCCCCAGTCAAGCCATGGCAACATCAAAGGCCACCTAAGTTATCCGACCAGTAACTCGTAGAATAATCACCCACTAAATCCAGTTGAAAATGTTGAACCACAAAATTATGAGCAAATAAAATAACTGTATTTTTAAACCTTGGGGTGCTTGGTTACATAGCCATGTATAATTGAGACAAGCATTTTAAAATGTTATTAAAAATAGCAATGTCATTTTAATGTCCAATTCTAATCAAGAGCATGGCTGAAGCATGTTTCTGAGAGAGAACGAGACATCTCTCTTGAGCTGGAAAATAATGGAAGAGCTGTGCGTGTGTAAAACTGTAAGAATATGATTGTGGATGAAATGTATATGTACTATATATACATATGCATGTGTAACATAAGTATGAATGCTATATGCATATATACATATATAATTGTATATGTATATAATTATATATATAGTGTATATAATATAATGTAATATAATATATAATATTATATTATATATACATTAGAGAAGAATTATATTATATATACATTATATTATGTATGCATAGAGAAGAATTACAAATAATGTATATTATGTATATTATATACAGTATATTATATAATATACTAATTATATATGCATTATAATAATGTATATTATATATAATGTATACATAACATATACATATATAATGTATGCAATGTATGCAATGTATGTTATATAATGTATATTATATATAATGTGCTTTATATATACATTATATATTAAATATATATTGAATATGGTATAGAATATATTATGTTTACATATTGTAATATATAAACATATACTGTTAATTATGTTAATACATATATTATGTTTATTATATATACATTATATATATACACACACAGAAAAGAATTACAAATAATTTCTGTACATACTTCTCTCTCATGGAAATGAATCTTAGCTCCTCATTCCTTGAATGTAGGTTGCAGTTAATTACTTGTTTCGAAAGTAGAAAATGGAAACAGTGGGGGAAGTAACCCTACATACTATACTCTTTATAGTGGAGAAAACTAGCAAAAATTATGTTGGCCAGGCGATCAAAGTTAAATTAACCTTAAGAGTGACAAATCATGTTGAAAGCATGTACCTTCAATATGTTTTGAAGAGAATGGCACTATAACTCCCTAATCTTGATCTTCATCTCCAGAATTACTATGAAAAAATTAGATGCATCAAAATTTAGGGACATTCATTCTATGAAATATCCGACTAGTGTTCAGATATTTTCAAAACTCTCAAGGTCATCAAAACTAGGGAATTCTGAGCTGTTGACATGATACAGAAGAGGCTAAGGTGATATGATGATAGAATGTCAAGAGAGATCCTGACTTAAATCCTGGGGGAAAAAAAACCCAAAATGATAAAGCAGAAAAAACAATGAAACCTGAAAGAATATGCAATTTATTTAGCAATAAGTAAAAAGAAACAAACAAATGGAAATAAATGACTTAAGCATAGAGGTGCTTTAATGTTTTTTCTAACATGTTTTCTTAAGAATGAAGACCAATGTCTTATGGAGTCCAAGCATTTGTTAATCTGAAATATTCCTTCTTACAAAAACAAAGATGAATGAATATTTATTATATATCTTGAGATAAAAGCTAAAAGACAGAAAGCTATCTGAATTTTTCATTTGTGTTTACTAAGTAGCCACACTAAGTAGAAACTGCGTAAAACTAATAAATTTGGTGTAAATTTATTAATTCACTAATAATAAATTACAAATAAAAATTAATTTACTACTAATAAAAAATACTAATAAATTAGGGTAAAACTAAATAAATTTAGTACTTGTAAAAAATAAAAGCCAGCATAGCAGTAAAGCCAAAAAGCTAGTATACAAAGGAAGGCAGATTGGAGAAGACACAAAAATTTTGTCTTACCATATTTAATCTTTTTGTATTTGAAGACAAAATCAATAATATGTCGTATTATGTTTATGTGTGTTTTTATAGTATATACACCTAAAATTCTAAAAAGATACTCACCTGGCCCCCATTTCTGCCGATGTTTACTGATAAGAAATAAGAACACAAACAAGTAGTAATATAAAATTTTTGTGGTAGGTATTCTCTTAGGTATTCCCTAACCATTCTCACTATTGGTGTTCACACTTATGTGCAGTTCCTTCCCTCATTGAATCAGGGCTGACATATGTGATATGTAGAAAACTGTGGAAGTGGCAGGGTATAAATGCTGATGCTGAATCATTAAAGGAATTTCAACTTTCACATTGCTTCCTGAGTCACTTGCTCCAGCGAAAACAACCACCATCCTCTGAGGATACTTCAACAACCCTAGGGAAAGCCTTCTGGAACGGAGGACCTCCACCGACAGCCAGTTCCAACCTGTCAGCCATGTCAGTAAGCAACTTTGGAAAGCAGATCTTCCAGCTCCAGTGAAGGCTTCAGAAGACTGAAGCCTGGCAAACATCTAACTACAATTTCATGGAAAGATCATGATTCAAAACTGCCCAGAGATGCTGCTCCTGAATTTTGGATCCATCAAAATTGTGAGAGATAGTACTTATTATGGCTTTAAGTCACTAAGTTTGGGTTAACTTGTTATACAAAAAGTAACTCATATAGCCTCCATAATTTGTTGAAGGTAGGCTTTCCAAAAAGGTTAACCAAGAGAGTTTCTGATTTCATGGATAACAAATACAAGCATTGGGATGATATTAAATAAGTATCTTTGTGCAAAAGCATCATTTTCCTATTTTTCTTGCTGTATTCTAGAACAGAGGCAAAAAGGGTTCTATCTAGACAAACAATTAAAGAAATCCACATAGGAAAACAGACTAAATGGAAGAGTAAGGGCTTACAGGTACTTGGCCCTTCACGATTTCCCAGTGAAAACAGTTGGGCCTTTATCTGATCAACACAAAGAAAAACTTACCCATCAACAATGGTTCTGTCCATACATAGAATTTTTCTATTAGTTTTTTAGAGTCTCACATTTAATTATAACAGGATATCCAAGAGTCACAAGGGATTTAAGGAAAGTTCCTAAAGTTTTCAGCCAAACAAAAAGGAGCAATGAAAGAAAAGAATGTAGAGAAAAAAAAGAAAAATAAAAGAATCATTCAAAAAAAATATTGTACCCAGAAAAAAAAGTCTAGAAAAGTTTACATAAGAAAGAAAATTCTACTTAAAAATAAGTAAATAAATAGTAAATATAAAATATAAATGTGAAATTATTAGCTTAAAAACAGAAAAAAATGATACTGAAATTGGAAATGATAAGATGATTCTTTCACTACACTTGACTAAAACAATTCTCATTTCCAGAAAAGGGAAGGGGAGGATGGAAATGAGGTTATTATTAAGTAATAATATGAAAATAATTCCTAGTCCCAAATAATAGAAGTTTTCACACTAAAGGAGCCCACAAGAGAGTCCAGCACAACAAATCAAGAAAAGACTCATAACAAGACAAATCATAGTGAAATTGCAGAACAGCAGGGATGGAGAAAAAAACCTCAAGAGCTTCTGAAGACAAAGGTTAAAAAAAATAAGTCATCAACAAAAAGAATAAAACAAATTCCTTTTTTAAAATTGCAACCTTGGAAACCAGATTTAGAGAACACTAGGCTTAAGGCTTGCAGAAGCCATTGTCTCCTCATTGAAAGAGCCTGCCTGAGAATGAAGGTAACTGAAGTAAACATGCAAAATAGGCAGGAGAAAATTGATTTCTGATGACACCACTGAATCCCAAATTCTGCAGTGCTCAAGGACGTTTTTGGAACATACCAGTTGCATGCAATAAATGATTACCTTTATTGTTCTAAGCTAAGTTTAGTTGAATTTATGCCACTTGGAATTGAAAATCTCCTGACAAATACAATTAGAGTCATCACTGCTACTACTGCACATGGACATGCACATGGACATGCATGTGCATATATAAAACATGTCTCTTTTATTATGTGTTCAAAAGTTAGAATGTTCATAATTTTACCCAAGGATCAGAAATGAAAGCACTTTGGGAACCACTGAGTATCTTGTTCCAGACTTATATGTTGAGATGGAACCACGGATATCTCAGAAGTTCCTGTGAGCTGACATGTAGAGGGACATGGGACTGGTGAGGTAAATATGAAAACAGTGTATCTTAGGATGACATCCTCAGAAGTCAAACCCAAGAGGACAGTTTGTGAGAAGGCAATTTATTAAGGAAATCCTTTCAGGGACCAGCAAATGTGGAGTTGGAAAAGCAGAACAGTGGGGAACAAGCTGGACATGGGTGTGAATCAGGTAAAATCCTTAAGATGGTAGTTAAGTCTCAGAATTGTCCTGCCATGTACCAAGAAATCCAGGGCTTTCTTAGCACCATACCTCTCAGTCCTTCATTGGTAGCCACCCAAGGAGAATATAAAGTACCAGGAATTCCTGGCTTTCTGGCTGTGGGTAGAGTGGGCTCCGGAAGCTGCAGGGGCTGGCTGTTGGAAACGAAAACGCCCTGAAGCCACAGGATACACAAGTGCATGGCAATAAAAAGGGGATGTGGGGACTTCAGCCCATTTAAGTGAGACACATCAGCTGCTACACGTGTTAAATATTAAATATTAAACAGTAGACTACCTAGTCTGTTAGGTCAGACAAAAACATAATCTAGTTTTATAAGTCTGAGGGCAATAGACTAGAAGATGAAGAGACAGAGGAAAAAACACTTGAGAGCACCCCTACCTGCTTCTAGTTCATCTCTGCCCATGGCCTGGAGGAGCACTGGTTAACTGCTGTCTGGTTTACCATCTTTTCAACTATCAGAGGGCCTGGCCAACAAGTAGGCAGCCTACTTACTTAATCTATGGGTTGACAGTAACTATTTTCCACACTAATGCCATCCAACCCTCTTTGGTGAGCTGATCCTATAGGGATTCTCAAATTTACGGTGTTTGAAGCTGAACTCCATCTCCTCACACAAAGATA